AGGTCAGAGTACTTTAGCAGAAGAGGCTAAAATTGTTAAGTATTATGTTTGGCAGGGGGCAGGTGTTCATTGTTTACCAAATCCAGAATATCAGGAAGGCCTTTCGTCCCTTGAACATGTAAGGCCACCATTTGGGTACCTACAAAATAAGGAAGCCTATTTTACAGGATAGATGTTAAATTGAGGAAACCTGTTGTCTTAAAATTGGAATTAGATTAAAAATATGTTTAGGAAGGTCTTCCTGTTCAGGTAATGGAAGGTCTTCAAATAATTATGAAGAAAGGTGTTCAGTGCCAGGGTAGATGTTGGCAGGAAGTGTATTGGAGCTCAGAGGAAGGAGGGAGCTGCAGGACGAGACCTCAAAGGTTGTGACATAAAGCTGGAATTCAGTATGAAATCCCCAGCCAGAGGGTGCACATCCCTCCTGTTGCTCCATAATCAGACACTGCTGACTGCTATCCTGGCCTTTTTTCTCACTGAAGACTGGGCCCTGGCCTGGTTGGGCCTTGTTTCATCTGTCCATGGGGGTAGGTGGGAGTTTACTGGTTCCTGCCCCCTGCCTCTGGCCTCCTTCCTCTCCAGCTTTGGCAATCACTGCCCCTTTGTCAACTTAAATCGGAGCTCTAAAACATTGTTTTTAATTTTCCCTTGTTCTACCCATTAACTGTATCCTATTAATTAGTGCCACAGGACTCCTGTAAACCCCCTTCACTATCCATGCCTTGCCTCCCCAGTTTTTGCTAAATATGTGACTGCGCCTTAGTGTCTCTCTCCCTGAGAAATGATTACATGTCTTGGCTGTGCTGACCCCCTGCCCCAGCTGCCCAGAGTGGCCACAGCTTGGCCAGATGCTTCATCTTGATTAGCTCTTAACCTCTTCCTCTCTATCTTCCTCTGACATTGCCGGGGGCTGACAATAAGCTGCAGGTTAGAAATCTCTGTTAATATTAAGCTCTTTTCTCTTTGGGCCTGTTGCCTGTACTTCCTAGTGCTTCTCCAGGTCACAGGGAACAGTATTGTGGGACCAGGGGGACTGGGGAGATCCCCTCTCCTGACCCAGTGGAGCCTCCCATCAAAATCTCAATCAACTTGTTCCACATCACTTGACCTCATTATAGATCATGATGATTTTGGTCTGTGCTACACCTCAAGCCTCAGCTCTAATGTGGCTGGCTCCCTTTTTATTTACTTAGCTTTTTCAAATGAAATTCCAAATCTTCAAAGCCTTGCTTTTTTTCATCTATTTACTACCCTACCTAGCTTCCTTCACCCTCATTTCTTGAAACCACTCCAAACCAACTTTCACAGTATGATCACTACAGTGTTCCATTTCTCTGTTCTGAGAAGACCTTTATTGTGTTTGACTCTTGACTCCTCTTTCCCCTCGGATTCCACCTCACCTGAGCCTCATGAGAGAAACAGCCTTACTCATGGTAACTGAAATGGAATCTACTATGAGGATGATGGTAAAATTAGCTAGCCCTGACTGGGATCTGCCTATGTTAGACATGGTGCTAAACATCTCATATAGCTCTTCCAACAGGCTCTTTTTTTTTTTTTTTGGTACCTGGGATTGAACTCGGGGGCGCTTAACCACTGAGCTACATCACCAGCCCTATTTTGTATTTTATTTAGAGACAGGGTCTTACTGAGTTGCAAAGCATCTCACTGTTGCCGAGGCTGTCTTTGATCTCTTGGTCCTCTGCCTCAGCCTCCAAAGCCACTGGGATTACAGGCATGCATCCATCACTGCACCTGGCCCAACAGCCTTTTAAGTACACCCATTTTCCAAATGAGGAAAGCAAGGCTCAGAATCCTTATGTAAATTACTCAAGTCACAGCTAGCAAGTGCCTGAGCCTGCATTAAAACTCCTCCAGCCTCCTCTCTACATTTATGATGCCTTTTCTTTTAACCTTGGTATACAGAATCCTTTAGGTCAAAGTGATTTTATTTGGAAACTGAAAATCTGCGGATCATTGTGTTGATCCTTCTTTTTCCTCAGGCCTAGGGGACTAAATGGATCTCAGATCCTGGCCCCTTCCTGGGCTTTTCTCCCTTGCAGTTTGGTCCCACATTAGGCTTGTCACCTTTATACCTGGAGGTAGCAGGTTAAAGACCAACAGTGGGTTGTTACAGCAGCCAGGGGCTTCCTGCCAGCCAATCGGAAGCGACCACCTAAGCTGTGAGTTCACATCATCTGCTCCTGCTAAGGCAATCATCAACATAAAAGGCTAATTGTATTAATCACCAAGGCACCCATCCCGAGTCCCCCTCCCTTTCGGGAGAATTATGAATTGCAATTGCAGATGGCTCCACTGATTGAAGGCAGCGCTCAGCAGGGAGAAGGGCCAGATCAGATTACACACCATTAATTAAAAACTTCCCCCACAAGCAGGAGGAAGGCAAAGCACACCAAGGGCCTCCAGGTTGGGTCTCAATTCTCCCCAGGACCCCCACCCCCGACCCAGGCCTGCGGCTGTGGTGGTGAAGCCTGCTTCCCCAGCTGGAATTTTAGAGGCCAGCCCTTCCCTCATCCAAACAGATGGCCTGCTGCCCTATTAAAGAACTCCTGAGAAGGAGAAGCTAACCTTTGGTTACTTCTGCATCTAACCTTCAATGCTCTTCAGCTTCTAACCTAATTCCTCACTTCTCAGGAAGCTTACTTATCTCCTGCTCTAGACTATCCTGACAAAACAGTGCTAAAGAACTATCAGTGAAAGCAGCCCCCAGTTTTCCCTTCAGGCAACCATTCTTACCCTTTGGGCCTGTAAATTCTGGGACAGGGAGGGAAGACTGGAATGGTGGGTGGAGACTCAAACCCTTGGCTATGTGCCTTTTCCCAACTCCTGCCTGGAAGTAGAGGCTTCTCTGATGCTGTCATTTTGGCTCATTTGGAGCTGTAACTCCTCTGAATTTTCCTCCTCTTGATCAATTACTGCCTCCTCTCCATCCCCAGCTGCCCAGCCTCAGTCATTCATTCATCAAACTTATATTGAGCACCCAGTGTGTTTTTGGCTCTCAGGACGCAGAAGTAATTTGTCAAGGAGCTTAAGAGCCTACCACAGGAACACCCTCCCTGTCTCCCTTCAACTCTTTTGTTCCCCTCCTTTCCTGTGCTGCAGTTTGTATAAGCCCCCCAGAGCTCTATTTTGGAAAATTCTAAGCTGGGAGCTAGGGAGACCTTAGGGGTCTATGCAACTGAGCCAGGTGACCTTTAGCAAGTCAATAACATCCTCTGTGTACACTCACACACACACACACACACATACACACATATATACATGCATGCACACATACATACTGTATGAGCAGGCTGTCCCTGCTCATAAAAGGGCACAGGAAGCCCTGGGCTCTGAGAGACCATGAGGATAGATGAGTGGAACCAGCTGGGAGAGATGAAAACAGTACTGTGCACTGAAAATTGTACAGAACACTGAGCAAGGCTTCTGGGGCTACAGGCCTCAGGGACTCAGTTATTGCACAGGTCACAGACAGGTTCAGAAGAATTTAGCCCATCCCCAGCCCCTTGAGAAACATCATGGAAAAAGACCTTTTTTATGGATTTGGTTGCTACATCTCGGGGTACCATGGTGATGGGCACCATAGAGATGAGAAGAACTGACATTTATTGGCTTGTGTCTTAATTCAGAGTTCCTCCCCCAGTCCCCTACACCCACAAAGTTTCCAGGTCAGCAGGCCCAAGAAAGGAGGCAGGGCCCTGATAAGTACAGCCAATGAAAGAGAAGCAAAATCTGCTCTTTCCTCCCTCTTAATCATCTCCCTCTCCCTTCTTCCCTCCTCCCTCTGATTACCAACAGCAATTGTATTCAAACCCAGTAATTACAGTAAAGCAATAATAATCATCATTTATTGGGATTGTTTTTCTAGCATTTTAACTTCCAAAAGCATTTTCTAACCTCTTATTTTCATAGCAGACCATGGGGAGGATTTGTGCCCATTTTACAGCTGGAGAATCTGAAAGTCAGATTGTACCCCAATCTGGCTTAGTAAATTTTTAACAACTTTTAAACTTTGGCACACCAGTTCAGCCTCCAATAGTCTTTCAGAGGTACTGAACCTTGAGTTTTTGGTTCTGAGTGATTCCTGTTTCCACAGTCTCTAGGACTTATTCAACAGCTTTTTTAGGGATCCTGGATACTGAGAATGAGGCTTCTTTTGGCCCAGGTCATGAACTGAGGGCAGGAATGAGGGCTTCTCCTGTCAGGATGGGTCCTGTGATGGGCTGAGGAGTGGAAGGTTAGGCAAACTCCTAAGGGAGATCATGCTCTGAGTCAGGTTGGTCTAGCCTAGAGCTCCCTTCTTATATCCTGTCCCTTTGCCAGCCAGAGGAAAGATTCCTCAATATGACAACTCTTCCCAAGGCTGGGGACCTTCCAGGGTAATCTCTATCTTCAGCAAGCCCCCAGTCAGACATAGGGGAATGATTCCCCTATCAGACATAGGAGAATCATAGCCCCCAAACCACACCTAGTGACAGAGAAATTCCTCTGAAGAGCTCAGAGGCTTTCTCAAGGGCCCAGTTCTTCCTAGAAGCTTGTCCCCTCCTCCCCAAAGGCTCCCTGGGTGGGACCTCCCTGAGGTCCCCTGGTGAGGGTCTGGACAGAAGGGCTGTCTGATTTCCAGTTCTTCTTCCTTAAGATAGGGATCTGGGGACTCGAGATCCAGCTGGGTAAGAGAAGGGGAGGCTTTCATAAAGTCCTCTCCCTCCCACTGCTCTGTTCCATTAAGAGATGGAGAAGGCCTAGGGGAGGGAATTGGAAAGATTTGCTCCCAGATTCTGTCTATAAATGTGGTGGCCAGGCGTGGTGATACACACCAGTAATCCCAGCTACTCAGGAGGCTGAGATGGGAGGATTGAGAGTTCAAGGCCAGCCTGGGCAGCATAGTGAGATCCCATCTTGAAAAAGAAAGAAAGAAAGAAATGTAATGCCAGAGGTAGTGATTGGCACCCCCCCACACACACACACACATCCCTGGCCTACCCTGTTAGGAAGAGACCAAACCTCCTGACCCCCCTTACAATCTACCCACCATGAAAGCCTCATGTCAGGGTATAGGAGACAAGCTGCCCTACTGAGGGGCCAAGGCCTGTGCTGTCTCATACTCACTTCAGCATCCCCTGAACTGGACCGGGATTCTTTCTTCTGGGATTCCACTCCTACTTTCTCCACTTCTGTGGTGCCCATGAGGATGGCCAGTCGCTCAGCCAGGGTCTTGGTGTCAGGGAACAGGATAAAGTTGTAGATCAGTGAAGCCAGAACAGCCCCTGTCAGGGGTCCCACCCAGAAGATCTGAGGATACAAAAGTGCATACCCATCTGTGAGCTATCAGGATCATAGGTAGCTTTCGGACCTTGCCTACTTTTCTAGTGCTGATTTGGCCTACCAGAACTCTGCCTACGAGAGTAAATTGAGAACCACAAATCCTGCCTCCTGAGCCCATGAGTTGAGGGAACCTTGCTTTCAAGGAGACAGGCCCAGGCTATGCAGCCATGGTTAGGGGTGGTGACCAGTCTCCTCATCCACTCCTGCCTCTTTCCTCTCACTCCCCCGTTTTAGCCAAGTTCTGGCTATTGCTGTTTCTGTCTCTGCTGGTGTGTCTATTTCTGTTTGTCTTTTTCTTTATTCAAGTTTGAAAATTGGTCCAGCTGGAGAAAGTAAAGAAGGAAACAGTCAGAACATAAAGCATGGGCCAAGACTGCAGCTCCTGCTCTGGTCCATTTCTCGCTAGTTCACTAGGTGCTTCAGGCTATTGGATCTGGAAAGAGACAAAGTACAAACCAAATACTCACCCTGGCCTTCCAAATTTAGGGAAACCTTCACACCCACATCTAAATGACCTGATGGGGGGCCCTTATCTCACTCTGGGGTCCTATCATCTCTATGGCCTCTGCTCAGGCCTTCTCTCCCTTCCCCATGGGTCCCAGCAGAGGGTCTCACCCAGTGCACTGTGAACTTCCCAATGATGACAGCAGGACCAAATGAACGGGCTGGGTTCATGGAGCAGCCAGTGAAGTAGACCTGGGGAGCAGCAAGTGCCCAGTCAGGGTGTGAGGGGACTTAAGGCAGCTTGGGAAAGGACAGTTCCCTCTGCCCTGGCTCAGAGACCCCACCCCCAGCCTAATTTTACTGGGCTATATCATCGACTTGTAATACCAGACATTGCCTTGGTTCTAAGACATAAAGGCTCCAGGGGAGAGACGTCCTGGCCTTCAGGGCCCTGTAACTTCCCCAAAGAAGGACTCAATGTGTGCATGCATATGATATCCTCTTTGTCCCTTACCCCAATGAGGTGGCCCAATGCCACAGAGGTCCCAATCATGGCAGCCGGGGAGCCCAACGCCTGACGGTTGTCCGTGGAAGCAAAGATACAGAGCACCAGCTGCAGGGTCAGAATCACCTCCACTGTCACTGCTTGGCCAGTTGAGGAGCTGTTGTGGACCTTGGCAGAGGGGATTATACTGAGTGTACCTGGGCTCTGCCCACAGGACAGTGAACCCCTCTGGGCTTGTCTCCTCCTCAGTTGTAGGGGGTGACACCTCACAGCACCCAGCTCTAGGAGCTAAGGAGATCTGTGCAGTGGGATCATATAATCCCTGGATACTTGCTTCGTGCAGAAGTGAGTGGCACCTCTTGCACCTCACCAGTTGGTTGGGGCCAATGGTTTAGGAGGGGGCACAGGTATTCAGGACTGGGAGGAAAGGGAAGGCTTGAGATGCTGGGGATGCATGTTTTAAGTAGAATGGGAGTAGACCAGTGGGTAGGAGTAGAAGGAGAATTTGAGGAAGCAGGTGGAACAAAAGTGATTGGGAAAATGGGGTGTGGGAAGAGAGGCAGGCTTCAGGGTGTTGGACAGGGAGGAACCTGAGGAAAATGGAAGAGCAAAAAACACAGGCTGGAGCTTAAGGGGCTGCTTGTTCTACCCACAGGCTCAGCTCTCCCTTGGCTACACCTACCCTTAGACATCTGGTCCCCCTTTGTGTGGCTTCTCCCTTCTTCTGTTCCTCATACCACAATCCCATTCTGCCTAGATGAAGACCAAAGTCTGATTTCCCTGGGTCCCAGGGCCCAGCTCAGAGCAGGTGTGAGCACATGGCCTAATTGTTTCCTTCTCCCTTCCTTCTGTTTGGGTCTAGCCCTTCACTTTTATCAACTATTTCAACTCTCTCCTTCTGGCCCTGTGGGGTACCCTCTGCCCAAGCACCTGCCACATGCCCCTCCTTGCACCTACCATGTTGATTCCAAGGGTTCCTCGGATGTCCCCTGGAGTGACCCCATATAGCAGAGCAGCCCCCACAGTAGCCCCTGCCAGCTGGGCAGCTACATAGGCCACAGCCCGGGGCAGAGAAATGTGGGAGCCCACAAGGAAGGCCAGTGTCACGGCAGGGTTGGCATGGGCTCCACTGGCCTTCCAGGTGACCTGCACAGCTGTGGCTGTGGCCAGGTTGAAGGTGATGGCAATTTGCAGCACCGAGGGAAGTGCAGAGGGCCATTTCAGGACCGAGCCCACGCCAAAGAATACATACAGCCCGGTGGCCAGGAACTCGGCAAACAGTGCTCGACTAACAGCTGTCCAAAGCCTACACACCAGCATGTTAGCCCTGTTGCACACCCCTGGTTCCATGCTCTGGTGTCTTGTGCCTTGGTGTCACCTCTTTTTCTCGAGGAGCTTCTCTTCTATTCCTCTTGTCTCTGTTCTCTTCTGTCTCCCCTGGTCTCTTGTCTCTGTGTGACTCTAGCTGTCTCACTCTCTTGAGACTTCAGCACCCCACTGCATTCCTCCACCACACTGCTGTCCCAAGGACTGAGCTGGTCAGACTGGCAGGGAGTCTGCGGGTGGAGTTATGTCTGGGTGTGTGGAAAGTGCCAGGGTGGAATGAGGGGTGGTGCTCACGTGCCTGTTCCACCCTGAGCTCACCTGAGAGGAGGGGGCAGGCAGATAAGGAGGAGTCCCAGGGTGCTGACCTGGAACTTCCCAGGAGGTTTTTCACCCCAGGACCCACCTGACTTGCGCTGCCAGAGGTCTCGCCTAAGGGCTGCGGGCACAGGGGCAACTGTAGTTAGGTTCCCAGTGTCCGTTTAGACAGAGCAAGATCACTCAGATCCCAAGTCCAAGGCCTGCTTCAGAGATTCTTATGCATTTATAGTAGCTTTTGCTCTCCTATCCTCTCTGCCTCCAAATGGGTTGAGCCTATTCTGCACCCCACCACAAACCCAGTTGTGAAATTGAGCTCTTTCCTCCATTCCCACTTAAAACTTCATTCACAGAATGCAGATGTCAGTAGAGTCAACTTTCCTAAGGGTGTGGGCCAGGAGGCACAGAAGGGGATGATGAAGGAAGGGTTTATCCACAGCTACTCAAGCTGCACCAATCGCCACATGCAGCAGTGGGCACCTCTGCTGTCCACCAGTGGGAATTTCCACTGGCCCTTCACACACTTCTGCTGCTCTCTGCCTTCCCCCTGCTTGCCTCCCTCTCAGGACTCAAAACATTCCTCTCTTCTCTCATACCTAGCAGGATAACCTTTTGTGGCTATAGTGGCCCTAAGGTCACACATACCTAGCCTCTCCCCTTTCACCCACAGCAGCATATCAAGATAAACAAAGGTATTCCACTCTAAGAAGAATCTGAAGAACTGTTGAAAGAATACCCATACCTGCTTTGACCTTGCCCCTGACCATATCCACCCGCCCACAGAGGTCACCTGGTTGTCCTCTGATTTTTGTCTCAAAATCAGTTCCTCACCATCCCCCCTCCATGCACTCTCCTTTTTCTCCAGCTCAGTTGGTGGCAACTGGGAAGCATCCTTGGCCCTCCCTCCTTTCCCTGTCCACTGAAAGAATAAAGTCCTGCTGATTTTGAATCCTACAATGACTGTGCCCTCTTCTTGCCTTGCTTCAGCCTTTAGTCAGTCTTCTGCTCCTTTGCTCTGCTCCAATCAATTCTCCACACTGCAGCCCTAGTGATCTTTCCAAAATGCAAATCTGATCCTGCTGCTCCTGTGCTGAAATCCCTGCAAAGCTTCCCATCCCTCTAGAAGCTCTGTGCCTAGCTGACGAGGTCCTCTGGGATCCTGCTCCTCCTGCCTCCCCTTGACCCTCTCCTTGCCCTGTCCTTTACCCTCTGGTCCCACCAGAAGAACACCTGCTGTCACTGCTGGCAAGATGCTCTTGTTTCATCTTAGCTCTTGTCACTCTCTTTGCTTGGGTGACTCCTAACTATCCCTAAGGCTCAGCTTCCATGTCACTTGCTCCTCTTCTGGGTGAGGACCCTCTGTGTGTTCCCACCATGCCTAGACATTTTCATATATACAGGGTGTTGTGGTGTTAACATTGTCCCCCCCACCACACACACACACACACTTCCAACCATGTGGTGAGCTTTTAGGGGGCAGGAGCCAAGTTTTTTCATCCCTATGTATAAGTGTCTTGCAGAAATTGGCAATAGTAGGTCCTCAATAAATATTTGTTGAATTAGTGAGTGAATGAAAATTTCTTGGCCTCCTGGAGGCAGATGACTTTGATGTCTGTTTCATTTCAGCATGTTGTTCCTACAGCTTTAGACCTGTCCTTTCAGGAACTGAGGTCTTCTGATAACAAGGGAAACATCCCAACTCTGGTCCACAAGCTCCACCTTCCTCCTCTCTTCCTTCAGTCCCAGTAAAATTCCTCACCCATCCTCTTCTGTTCTTCCAGCTATCCTTGCTGGAGGACTCCTTGGCATCTCACCCTGAGCAGGTTCTTGCCAGGGCCCTACTTGCAGCTCCCTGTTCTCTCCACCCTGCCCCAGCTGCATGGCTCCATCCTCACTTCACTCCACACTTCTCTGCCCCCATGTTTGTTTCTGGGCACTGCTGGAGAGACTGGCCAGCCATGCCAATTGCTCCCACTGTCTGTCTGGCCTCAGCAGGGGCTGCAGCTCTGCTCAGCAATCCTTCCACCATCCCTAGGTGAATCTCCTTTCCATTCTTCAAACCTCCCTGACTCTTCAAATACTAGCTCACTCTGGCTGTCTTGCAGCAGAGTGCCAACCTGTGCCTCCCATCCTACCTAGAAAGCCAGGCTATCAAGCCAACTTCTTCCATTCTCTCCCAGTCATGGCTCACCTACAGCTGCCCTGGGTCCCCATGAGTGCCCTTCTTCTTTATCCACGTCAGAGGCTTCTTGTGTCTTGGCTCCCTTTAAGTGACTGGGGCCTGCTCTTGGTCATTCTCAACTATGGCTTTCACTCCTTTGTCTCCCCTAGCTTCTTACGTGTAATGTCCCTGGGTAGCCGCCAGGGCAGAGGAAAAATCATGGTTTGGAATCAAGTTTCCAGTCACTTGCACACTACACTAACCCTCATCCTGTACTGAAATTGCTCTGCCCAGACCACTGTGCAACCTCTTCTGCCTTCCTCCCCTTTGACTCAATGTGGCACATGCACTGCTGATCACCTCTCACTCTTGAAGCCTCTGGTATCCTGGTTTAGGAGGCAAAGCCATCTATAGATTCTTCCTACCTCTGCCTCTGTGACTGGCTCCTCTTTTGCTCACTTTTACGCCCAGATCTTTGCTCCTGAATCACTGATTTTCTCACTCTCAATGAGATGGTGCCTGGGGAGTCTCATATGGGTAAGTGGCCTTCATACTCTCCATAGACTGTGGTCTCAGCATGGCCTCCAGCCCCAGCCTCTCTCCTGAACTCCAAGTCCATGCGCCACCCCATTTCACCTCCAACTGTCTCTGTTTGCTACATCTCCCCCTAGTGGCTCTGCATTCACTCAGATGACCAGGTCAGAACCAGGAATGATCCAGACACCTCCTCTTCCTTCAACTCTCACTGAGTTGCCGGGCTCCTGGTGGTTCTTTCTCTCATTTGCTACCTCTTCCTATTCCTATTTGCCACTGGCTCAGTTTGGCTCTTTTTATCTCAGGATTACTGCATTTAACCTTCCTGGGCTCTTAGACTATAATATAACCATGCCCCTCCATAATACTCACCTCTATAGCCAGAGATTATTTCAAAATGCCACTCTGGTCACATCACTCCTCAGCTCAAAAACCTTCAGTGGCTCCCTAGTGCCTCATGTTCAAGTCTGAATCCATCTCTCACATGCAAAGAAGGACCTCTTTCAACATGCATCTTACCCCCTTTACTCCAATTAGGACAAACATTTATAAAGTTTCCCAAAATGAGCTTTTAAGCCCTCCACACACTGTTTGGAATTCCTTTCCTCCTTGTCTCTCCTTTAAGACTTTGCTTAAGTACAATTCCTCTTTGAAGCCTGTCCTGGTTTCTCCCCTGAGCAAGATCAGGGTAAGCTTCATAGAGAAGTCAGGCTTGAGCAGAGCCTGGGGTCAGCGGTGGCCTCTGCTTCCTAAGTGTCTCTTCTATGCCAGTGCAGAATTCCGCCCCTGCCTGGCACAGAGGAGCCATCCAACAAACACCCAAGATAGGAAGGAGTATGGATGAGGGGCACCATGGTGTCTCAGGGTACCTCAAGGGCCTATCTCCCATTCACTTCCCTCAAAAAGGGCCAGTGGAGGGCTTGGTGGACACTTACCAGGTCCCCACATTTGTCCTAGCCTCCATTTCTATCCCTGTAAAACAGGCACCAAATTGAAGTGATACCTATCTGTTGAGAGCTTGTGATAAGAAAAGTAAAAGCACTGTGCAGCCTAGCACAGTGGTACTTGACTAGTTCCAGCTACCTGGGAGGCTGAGACGGGAAGATCGCTTAAGCTCATGTATTCAAGACCATTCTGGGAAACAGCATGACCTGATCTCAAACAGATAAAACAAAAATAAAATAAAACAAAAAAGCATTTTGCAATTGCTACCTGTACTGCTGACTGATCATTTAGCTTCTGTGACCTCAGTATCCCCACCTATAAAATAGGGATGATAATCCCCCTGTCCCCATGTGTTGGTAGGAGTAAGTGAGCTGATATCTGGGAAAGTGGCTTCCAATCACAAAATGTTTCTTCACTGAGACAACTGTGGGGACTGGGCTAGGGTAAAGAAAGGTCCTGGTTGCTGTGGCAGGTCCAAGACACTCTGAAGCCCATGCTCTGGGCCCTAGAGGCTAAGAACATGAAGTGCAGTGGTAGCCCTTTCCCCCAGCTGACCTGCAGTTATAGCCTCTTTGGGTCATGGCTGACCTGGGTCAAGGAGGTCCTATACCTGCTGAGGGCAGGTGGGCATCCACCTGGGGCCTGCTCCAACTCTTGACTTTGCCTGCCTCTGCCAGCTACCCCCAGACCTTGTCAAAACCCTACACTAGGCTGCCTGTAGTTGTGAGCTCTGATTGAGACCCTCTCAGGGTTTGGAGAAGATAGGGAGAGCAGAAGAGAGGGGAGGAGAGAGAATAAAGACATGATAGGAAGGGAAGATCAAGGTGGCTTCTTGTGCAGCATCTCACTAATACCTACAAAACATTTAAAGTTAGGGAGGGGGAGGTCTGATATCCTCACCCATACTTGATAGAGGAGGTTGCCAAGACTGAGAGGAGTTAAGAAAACTGATTCTGCCAGCAATCCCTCCTCCTGTCCATTCATCTAAACAGCCAGACTCTGTTCATTGCCCACCTTTATGCCTCTTCCATCTCTCCATCATATCACCATGTCCACCTTTCACTGGTGAAAACTTGCAGCCCCTGGGGAAATGAGTGGGGGAGATGAAGGTGAGGAGAAGCCTTTTAGCGAAAATGTGGGTTCTTCTTGGGTCCCATCTTCAGGTAGGAGGGGACTGAGTATGTGTGTGCTTGGATATGACTAAATGTGTGTGTGCCTCCCCAAGGATACATGAAGCCAGCTCATAGGTCTGGTCTCCAAGTGATCCTATGAGAGTGAACATTGGGGGAGGGTTGCTACAGCTCTGTATATCAGGAATGACCTTGTTTGTGTTGAGGGAAGGGGCATACACACACACACAGAAGATGCAACCCCTTAAGTAATACTGAAGGTCTGTATTTGGCTCAGGGCACCAGAGATGTGAGGTTTAGCATGTGTGTGCTCAAGGGTGCACAGGTCTTCGTCAGCCCATAGACCCAGTGGCTTATGGAAGATCAGACACAGGAGCACAGCATCCCCTGCTGGTCAAATAGCTCTAATCACTAACAGCCCAAAGCTCTAATATGGACCCTGCCCCACCAACAGGGTCAAACATCACCTGCTGGAAGCTCAAGACCCTCTGACTGGGTGCCCCACCCACCTCTGAGGATATATCCCCATAGATTAACTGTTCACTATCACACTGGCCCTTGGGGCTGTCAGAGAAAGGATCATAAATTGCTGGGCTGGAGAAAGGGGCCAGCCTTCCAGTTAGCGAAGGGTTCCTCTCTCCTTCTGGGTAGTGAGATTGCTGCGACTGGGAATACGCTGCTTCCTGGTGGTCCCTGGAGCCCTCTACCTGGCATCCCTTCTTCATCTGCCTAGAGCCCAGCTCCAAGACTTGGGAAAGAGAAAATGCAGGCTGTGGATTTGGTGGATGAGGTCTCCCCCTGCTGGCAAGATCTTGCACTTGCGGACTGGCTCCCTGGGCCTGGGGCAGGTGGCCCAAGGTTGAGAATTGAGGGTAGGGTGATGGGTAGGAAGACCCTAAGGTTCTCACACACACTCTCTGCCACTTGATGTTAACCAGAAGCCAGTAAGCCATTAGGAGTGACTGGCTCCTGTTCACAGTTGCTAGAACCCAGTTTGGAGGAAAGCTGGGTGGTCTGTGCCTCACCAGCCAGGTCTGTAGCTTTTCCCATCCCTACTAGTACATTTCCTGGCCCTGCTGGCTCTTCCTATTTTGAAGCAAAACTGAAGACCCAAGAGGAGCGGTTCCCATACCAGAGAAGCAGGAGCACAGATTCAGACACTGTCAGGAGGGCAGAGGCATGTGTGTTGCTGGTTTCTTTTCACAGTACTGCATGAGCACCTGCCGAGGTGCCTGGCTCTGTTTGCAGCAGCGTCTCACCTCCACCCATTATCTCATTTTTTCTTCACAACAACCCATGAGGTAGGTAAAAGTATTTCTATTTTACAAATAAGTTAGAGCTCCAAGAGCTTATGTTTCCCAAAGTTGTGCAGCAAGATTTGAACTCTGTTTATCAGCCTTCTTACCTGTGATGCTGAGCTGTGTCTTGAGCTGCTCATTTAAATGTGGCTTCTGCTCTCCTCCTCACAGCCAGTCCCAGGCATCTTACTCCCTTTACCTGATTGGATCCCCAAAACTACTTATGAGGGAAGCCTTTTTATTCCCATCTCACAGGTTAAGAGATGGAGGTTCAGAGAAGTTAAGGAGAATTCCTGAGCAATATCAGTGGCCTCAGGACAACAGCAGGTAAGGGCAGAGGGGAAGACCTTGGGAACACTGACAGATGGAGGCCGGAGAGACCTGGGAAAGGACTGGGCTAGGAGCAGCTTCTGGTATGTCATGGGGAATGGGATAGCTCCTCTGAGACAGGTACCCAAATGTCACCTTTTTGAAACAGCAAGGTGCAGAGAAGGGATACCAGGGTTGTTTCTCCTTTGCATGACAGAACCTGGTTGGTCATCTCCTTGGCATCTTGAGGGTCTGTGGTTGGTTTACTTCTTCACCTTGCCTGGCACACCCTAACACTTGTGCCAGACTCTTCTCAAATGGCAGGGACTTGACATAGCTGAGGGACGAGGGGTGAGTGGGAGAGGGGCAAAGGGGGTCCTTTCCTTTACTCCTTGTTCCTGGCCTATTTCTTTTTTCTTTTTGCTACTAGGGATTGAACCCAGAGGTACTTAATCACTAAGCCACATCCCCAGCCATTTTTTTCTATTTTATTTAGAGACAGGGTCTCACTGAGTTGCTTAGGGCCTCACTAAAGTTGCGGAGGCTTGTGATCCTCCTGCCTCAGCCTCCTGAGCTGCTGGATTACATGTGTGCCCCACCACGCCGGCCTCTAATTCTATTTCTATATTTGGTATCCTCTTTTCACTCTCTCCCCACCACTTCCCCATCTCTCTGATCCTCTAGTAGTCCTCTGGCCTCAACATTCCCTTCTTTGTACAGAGGACTTATCTTATGTTCTCTTTGTATCCAGTGGAGATCATAGAGGGGGTATGGGATGACAAAGAGGAGAGGTGTGGGACCAATGTATCCTGAGAAGCCTCTGGGGAGAGATGGAGGCAAAACATGAGATCATTGGTTTATTAGGAAGCCCCCAACCCAAACAGCAGCAGCTCACCCGTGCATCCTTGATCAGAAATAAATAAGATGGCATTCAATGAATCAGTCTACTAAGGAGCTTTGGGGGAGGGTCCACTCTCCACACCAAAGGCCTGGTTCTAGCTCTTGAGGGTCTGCAGGTGTGGGGAGCAGATAGCAGCCTCTGTTTTCTGGCCTGACCCTGAAGCAGTCAGCGAGCTTGGCATCATGCTCACAATCTCCAAGGTCTGACCCCACAGCAGCACAATCTGCCCTGTCCCAAAGAGACCCTGTTCCCACCAGACCCCAGCCACTGACCCCACTGGAGCATTTGATCATGGGGTCCTGCTCCCATCTCTAACTGTGCAGCCCAGGAAGCCAGCACCTCCTCCCCAGTCAAGAGAAGGAAGCTTCGTTGTCATAGTTTTCTTCTTTTTTCTTCTGTGGTTCAGGGGCTGTCCCTGCCTGATGCTGGTCAGTGGGCGGTCAGCTCTATACTCTTCCGATGTTCTCTGGCTCATAGGTGCCTTTGATGACTGCAATACGATCACTGCGGCTCAGGGAGGTAGGGAAGAGCAGGTAGAAGTAGAGGATGGCAGCCATGGTGGCCCCCACGATGGGCCCCACCCAGAAGACCTAGTGGAGACAGACAGAGGTCAGAGGCTGAGCCCCAGGCCTCAGGGACCACACCAGAGGACAGATCCATGGGTGCTGAGAAGAGACTGACATACAGACTTCCAGACCTCTGGAGGGAACCATCTCCTTGCGCTTTAAGGACAGATACACTGACATCTTATTCCTCAATGACAAAGACGTGGATCACAGACATACAGACTCTCCAAGGAGGCAGACAGATGCCGAGAGGAACAGATCTCTTCCAACCCCACCCCAAAGAGACACAAATGAACCATCAGAGGGACAGAAATAGATCCTCAGACAGGGATGGGCAGAACTATCCCCTCCTCATAAAGTGACCATGAGCTCACAAAAGAGGTGACAAACAGACTGTCTAGATGGACAGATCCATAGGAACACTCTCCCAACCCCTCAACAGGCCCTGATAAATAAAACATTAGAGAGAACAGACATATAGATTCCCAGAGGGACAAACAAAATCCTCACAGGAAATCAACACAGATCTCTTCTGTACCTCTAGAGAAAGTACAGATCTCCTTCTCTAGAAGGACAGACATTCATACCCCCACATACACACTGGCCCCTTGTCTCTAGGGGCTCAGGCCACATACACCAACCCTGCCCTTCTTCTAGCCACATCCCATTGCCTTCTCCATCCCCTTCTCTCCAGCCACAGATCCCAGGCCAACCCCCAAGCTCTGGGCCCACAGCATCCAGAAAGTCTGCTCAGTTCTCCACTGCCACTGCCAGGTTTCCAAGCCCTCGTTGCCAAGGAGTCAGAAGAAGGCCCAGACTCACCCAGTGTGAGGGGCTGAACCGATTCATGACCACTGCGGGGCCAAAAGAGCGGGCTGGGTTCATGGAGCAGCCGGTGAAGTAGATCTGGATGGATGGGGACATCAGTGAGGAGACAGGGTCCTCATTCACTCCCATAGAACCCAGACTCCCCAGGGTCACACACCAGTCCAGGGATTTAGCCAGGTCTCAAACTCCAGTCTTCTAGGACTGGTGCCTGTTCCCTGCAGGGATCTTGGCTGTTGGCTTAACCGTGGACTCTATCCATGCCCTCTTTTCTTTTCTGTCCTCTGCTTAGGCTTGATTTCCTGACCCCACCATCCCACCACACTTCCCCTTGCTCCCATCTTTTCTCAGCCAGGAGGTTTGGGGGATCAAGTCTGGGGCCCAGTAGGGCCAGTCCACCAGTACCAAGACTAGACCCTAAGCTCTACTTAGGGGCTCACTAGTCTGGAGGGGATGCCATTCTGAGGTCCCAATACTTCTGGGTGCCTCCCCTAAGTGGCACCCCAGTCAAATGTCAGCTCCACTCACCCCTACAAGGTGGCCCAGCGTGACAGACAGGCCAATGGATAGAGCTGGAGAGCCCACAGGGCTGGTGCGGCGGGAGTCAGTGGAGGAGAAGATGCAGAGTGCCAGCTGGAAGGTGAGAATGAGCTCCACTGCCACAGCCTGGCTTGGCGTTGTGTTGTTGTTGATCTGTGGGGTGGGGGGATGCTGGGTTAGGTAGGACCCCTGCTGCCTTCAGGCTCTGGGGCTGGGGCAGGAGGAACAGGGCCTCCGAAGACACCTGGAGCCTGAGCACCTGGAAGCCAAGCCCAGTCGCCACCTCAGAGGGGCCATTTATTGAAGAGGCTGTGTACTTCACAGTATGTAGAAGCTTGAAGCTCAGGCCTGTGGCCAAAGGGCAGAGTGTCAGGGGAGCTTTTCTTGGAATCAGTCCTGTCAAGGGCTCTGCCCAATCCCCAGCCCCCACAAGCTAGCTTTTACCCTCCCTCCTGTGGGCAGCTGCCCAGTCTGCCTACTGCAAACTGCCCCTGGCCTCCTACCCGTGCCTGACCCGCTGTTGGTGCCAACCTCAAACCCGTCTCTCCAGTGTGGCTGACTCACAGCTTGACAATGGCCGCGAAAATCCTCCTCTGTGTTTGATTAATGAACCCAGTTTACATGGGACAGTGGGGTTGAAACTGGGGCTGCAGAAGTAGGGAGGCAGCAGCGGGCAGGAGCAGGGGTGAGGAAAAGGGGAACAAATATTTAACAGAGACACTACTCATTGGAGGTGGGGGGGATCACTTCCATGGTTCCTAAATGTAATCCCCATGACATCTGTTATGGTGTGACCATCCTGGTATAATAACTGAGGAAAAGGAAACAGAGAAGCCAACATCACCAAAAGCCAACGTCACCAGAACCCAGGATTACAACCCATTTCTCTCCGGAGGTTACATTAAAACTTTTCTGCTGAAGGATAGACAAGAGAGGCAAGAAGCCGTGAGGAAGGAGAGAACTCAGAGGCGGAAGGAATAAATGTAGAGGGGAGAGGCAGTAGGCCCTTAGAAGAGGGCCAGGTAGGAGCAACAGGAGCGGAGGGGGCAGAGGAGTGTGAATCAGGGTGCTGCTGTCCCTCCAGAGATTCTCTTCCAGGCCTTTCTGGCAAGAGTATGCACTATCTTCCTCTGGTTGTACCCATTTTCGAGAAAGGGCACAGACCTAGTCCTGAGCACACACCAGGTTCCCTGGCCATCCTTCCCCAGTCCTCTGTCCACTCACCGCGTTGACTGCCAGGTTGCCCCGGGCATTGGTCGGCACCAGCGCATAGAGGATGCCTGCCCCGGCGATGGCACCCACCAGCTGGGCTGCCACGTAGAAGATAGCCCGGAGCAGTGAGATCTGGTTGCCTATTAAGAGGGCCAGGGTGATGGCAGGGTTGATGTGGCCCCCGCTCACGGGCCCCAGGGCCTGGGCCATAGTGCCTATGGCCAGACCAAAGGCCATGGAGATCTGCAGAATGGAGGGCAGTGCAGATGGCCACTTGAGGGCTGAGCCGAGGCCGAAGAAAACGAAGATGAGGGTGGCCAGGAACTCTGCAAACACGGCCTTGAGGAAGGCCACGGAGCACACCTCTGTCTTCATGGTGGCCTTGGGGGCCCGGCGGCAAAGGCCGCGACAAGGGGCGGCCGTTCGGGCAGTGGAGGCGGCGGGGGCAGGGGTCTGGCTGCGAGGCGCCGCGCGCTCTCTAGCGCCCACTCCGTGGCTGGCTGCCTGGCGCGGGCCGGCCAGGGGCGCGTTATATAGAGGGCGGGCGTCCCGCAGCGGGACTAGCGCGGGGGGGCAGTGGGCGGTTCCCGCGCTCGGGGGCCAGGGCAGCGCGCAGGGCACAGACCTGGCGACCGCCGCCCGTTCGCCGCCGCCCCGGACCCCGCGCGCCCCCAACCCGGCGCCTGCCCCCCCGCCAGGGCAGCGGCGGACCCGCCCGGGCCACGTGACCCAGGCCGCAGTGTAGACGGGCCCGGCGGCTGAGTACCCGCGCATGGTGCTGTCAGAAAAGCTCCCGCGCTCTAGTCCGCGATGTGCGTCCCGAGCTCCTTGGGAGATGTGGCGAGGTCTGGACTCTCCAGTCCGACAGCGCCCTGGAAGTCTACCTCCGCTGGGCCTTCACCTCCGGCCGTGGTCTTCGCCTTTCCTTCTCTTCAGTTCTTTGGTCCAGCTTCTCCTTTTCCTCCTGCGATCCGAGCATCCTGACCCGGCCTCACCCACGGCTGGGCTGGAGTGATGCGGTTCCCTGAGGACAGCGCCTCTTAGCTCCCTGCCAGCGGGTGGTGGAGGCGGTGCGGCCGTCGTGGGCCTCTCCCCGGCCCGGCCCGGCCCCGACTGGAGCGGGGGCGTTAGGACCAGAGGCACTGTGCCAGTCTGCCCTGGCGATTAGCAACCTCCACGCCGCGCGTCCTGGCAGTACAGGGCTACACAGCTGACTTCCAGAGGTGCCCTCCACGGCTGCTTTCCCAGGGCACTGCCCTCCTGGGGGGGGGCAATTAGGGTTTACTTTGGAGTCAGGGAAAAAGTCCTGGGACTCTGGCGGATCAGAGAGGACAGAGGCACCACTGACCTTCCATGCGGGTCTCGGCCTCCCCCACCTCCCTTCCATAAGTCTTGCACTATGGTTTCAGCTTTTCCTTCTCTTCCGCCTCCTCCTCTCTCCCTCTTTAGTCTCTACCTTTGAACACTCCCTAGGTCTTGATTTCGCTCTGCTGCATTCTCTCTGCTTCTTATCCCTGTCAGTCTTTCCCTGGGCTCCATTAACTGATGTTCTCGTCTTTTTTTTTTTTTTTTAATGTTTATTTATTTTTTTAGTTGTAGTTGGACACACTACCTTTATTTCGTGTATTTAAATGTGGTGCTGAGGATCGAACCCAGGGCCTCGCACGTGCTAAACCAGTGCTCTATCACTGAGACAAAACCCCAGCCCCAATCTTGTCTTTTTGCCTCTTTTAATCTCTGTCCCTTTTCCGTCCTCTGTCTCTTCCCTGCTTTCTTTTTCTCAGTCTGTCACTCCTCAGTCCTTCTCCCCCTTCCTTTTCAGTCTGTCTTTAAATTCTCTCCCTCCCCCTCTCTCACACTGTCATATTCTTTGTTTTATCCTTCCTTCCTTCCTTTGACAGTCTAGGTTTGTCTCTATTCATCTTTCTCCTATTTCACCTTTCTTCTGCCTCTTAATTTATGTGTCTTCTTGTTTCTGTCTTCACCTCATTCTTGGACTGTGCAACACTTTCTTCCAGTTTTCCCCAATACCCAGCTCCTAGTCCCTCTCGTGTCTCGTCTCACCCCTCCTCTCAGCCCTCTGTCTTCCTATGGCCAGGTTTGGCATGTGGGGAATGACTTTGGAGGGCTCTTCAGAGCAAGGATCCAACCTCAGGATCCTGGTAAAGGAACTACACCCTCAACCCTACCATGTATGTTTGAGAAGCACTTAGCACAGTACCTGGCACAGAGGAAGTCTCAGTAAAGAATTCTGCTGTGGGTATTAATTTTAAAAGCCACCTGAGGATTTGAGCCCTAGGGTACAGCAGAGGGAGAGAACAGGTGTCTTCTGTCAGTTTGTCCAGCTGGGGCTTTGGGGAGGAGCACACAGGAAAGCCAAGGACCTGGTATGGGGCTCCATAGCAGCAAAGAGGCCAAAGAAAACAGGGGCCAAAGAAATCCCGCTATTGTTCCTACTCTGCTCTGGCATTTCCTGCTGGAGCTGCTCCTCCCCCACATCTTTCTTAAGACAGGAGGACTGTATGTCCTTTCTCATTTGTGTCCAACGAAGGGCCCTGACCCCAGCAGGACATTGGCAGCTATATGTAAGATTTTCTTCAGGGCTTGGGGCTCAGATTGGACAATGACCCTGATGATCCCAGAGGCCCTGGGGTCAGACTCCACTGCTAACTCCACTTCAGTCTAACCTTCCACCTTTTTTCTCATCCTTTCTTCTCAGCACTGTCTTTATGAATTCACAAGTCTCCAGCTCCGTCATTTTGGAGTGGGCAGAACTCAGAAGTGCTCACAGGAAGCTGAACCAATCTGGGAAACTTCTACCTGGGGATTTGAACTTAGTCCTTTTCAGCTTATGAAAGATAAGAAGTTGTTTTTGCCATTTTATTGATTCAGAAATAATCTATAAAATTATATTAAAATTGACCTCTACTGTTTGATTTAATTCCAAGCTACTTTGTGAAGAAAACTAAACCCAGAGGTTACTTGCTCAGGATCACACAGTGACCTGAGATGGGAACCACAGGTTGCTACACAGACTTTGTCATCAGGAGTGGACCTGGTGAGGCTAAGGGAGGTCAAGATTACTCACAAGAGGCAGCTGATTCTGTTTCTTAGGCTTGTGCCTGAGGTCTTTCCATCTCTCTAATATCAGGGTTGTTATAAGAAACTACTGGAATTATTATGTCCTGAAATGGTGTTTGCACTGAGCACTCCAGGTCCTGTCCTGTTACCTCTAGAGGAATGTGTCTCCCTGGGAGATAGATAGATCTCATCACTGTGACAGTGGGAACTGGAATCTCTCAGGGAAATCCTCGCCTGTCTTCTGGCACCTGGACTGTATTGACCATTTCCAAGTTGTGGAAGAAACAGCACTTACTGACAAATGAGCATTTATTGAGTGCTTACTATATGCAGAGCACTGTGTTAGATAAGACCCATAAGGGAAGATAGGAGAGTACCATCGAAGAACTGGAAGGAGCCCTGTCCACAAAGGGTTTACAATCTAGCTGGGAAGCATTTTTATTATATAAACAGAATCACAGCTTAAAGATATTAAAAAAAAAAAAAAAGCAAATTTGCAGGTACAAAGTCATTTGGCACAAAATGGGAATGTGGGTGACCTGTGTAAATCTACATCATGTACAACCAGAAAAATGAGAAGTTATACTCCATTTATGTATGATGTGTCAAAATGCATTCTACTGTTATGTGTAACTAATAAAAAAAAAAAGAATGAAATAATGACATTTGCTGGTAAATAGACAGAAATGGAAAAAAAAAAGAGAGAGAGAATGTGGGGATGGATGCTGCTGGGACCAAGTGGTCAGCTACCTCCTCCTCTCAACTCAGGGCCTTCTCTGTCCCTAGCTGGAGGTCTGTCCACCTGCCTCCATGCTGCCCTGCCTCTGTCTGGTTTGGGTGTACCTGATCTCCACCTTCCTCCTGACCAGGTGCTCTTCAAGGGCAGAAACTAACCTCATGTTCTTTGTCATTTCTTCCCTACCCTGCTACCACCCTTTCCAAGGGTCTGTGTCTACCACAAGACTGTGGGCTGGGTTGGGCTGGGCTGGACAAGCCCAGCTGAATGTTCTAGTTTCTGCCAGGGCCTCCCAAGAGGAGCCTAGGGCTTGCCTCAGTGAAAAGATCATGGGATTTTGTATAATAATTCCTGACTTCAATCTTGACTCAGTCACTGTATTCCAACTGTGACTTTAGGCAGGTCTCTTAGCCTCAGATTCTGAATCTACAAGATGGGAGGAACAGTATTTATTCTTCCTATCTCACAGGGTTGGGAGGTTATCACAGGAATTCCAAGGAAGTGCTTTGGAAATAGTTAAAGCTTGTATGGGACTTGGGGACCTTGTCCTTCCAGAATCTGTCTGAAGTTTTAGGATTAGATGAACTAATGCATGTGAGTCGGCCAGCATAGTGGCTGCCAAACAGAGACTCTTAGTAACTTGTCAATTTCTCGTCCACTCCCATCACATGGAATCCTGCTTTGACCTTTGGTCTTAATATGGGCAATGGGGGCTACAAGTGTAGGGGAATCTCACATTTAGTTTTGGGGGAGATGCAATGCAGGAAGCAGTACGGAGAGAAATTCTTGGCACCTTCTAGAGGGGTTTGGTGGAGTGAAGCAGGGTGGACATAAGGTAACTTTCTGCCTTTGAACTTCCAGAGCAAGGGCACAAGCTACCAGGAGGACAGCTCCAGAGGTCACTGGAGTCTCTGACTCTACCCCTCCCCAGCAGTGAGGCCAAGTTTCTGTTACCAGCTGTGGGAGTTTGGGAGGGTCCTCTCCACAGCACCTGTGACACAGGGCAGCCTTTTACTGACTCTAAAGAAAGTCCTGGTCCAGAAAGACAAGAAAGAGCCTAGCTGAGAAGGGGAACAGTTGCAGAGATTCCTTATGCCACAGACCATCTGTAAAGGGATTGGAGGGGGCTCAGGTGAGGGACACTGAGGGAGCTTGGTACAGTGTGAGACAGACACAGACAAAATGCTTGAAAGCCTGGGGGCGACAGAGAACATGGAAAAGTGGGCTCTAGGTGTGATTCCCTGGGTTAGTTATGCAGCAGGCTGGAGAGGGAGGAGGGAGGGGATGGATGGGCTGCGTAGCTAGAGGAAGGAAGAGGAAGAACCGAGGGCCAGTCTGTGCTCAGGGTAAGGGGAGGTTCAGAGGCTAGACCAGGATGGAGCCAGCCCCAAACCCATTTTCTTCTGCCTAGACCTTGGGGCTCCCACGCAATGAAGGAAATAGAGGAGGCTGAGGGTCAAGGCCCTTTGCATACTCCTCCCACCCGAGGAAGCAGAAATAATGAAAATGAACCTAATAACGCGTGATAATGGTATTAAGAATTACAGTTCACACAGCATCTTTACATGCATCATCTCACTTAATCCCAGTTAATCACATCTGAGAAACATTGCTCTGGCTTGGAAAATTTAGAAGCCTGTGTTCTAGACTCAGACCTGCTTCTGCCTGGGCAAGTAATTTCCCTTTTCTGG